AAGAAATTGTATAGGACTAACAAAGTGATGTGATGTTAAGTTATGTTCAGTATTGTGGAGCAGTGGTTAGGGTTCTGGTTTAAATGCAGCTAAGATAATAGTGCTGTTCTTCCAAAGAGAGTTATTTTAGACATACTGTTACTTCCTCCCATATGAGCCTAAATAATTGGCTCAAATTGTTTCAAAAAATATAATTAAGGGTAATCATATTATTATTATTATTATTATTGGACAGTAAACATGATATAATTGTACCCTTAAGCTAGGTACTTTACCTGAATTATATTTATATATAAAAGGTGCAAATGTTAGTTGCTTAGAAGAGTCTGTCAAATAACTTAGCAAATATAGAAGAAAACTGGTCTTAGTCAAAATATGTACAATACTGATACATCTTTTTTAAGGGGAGCTATCTTAGACATACTGTTACTTTCTCCCATAGGGGCCTAAAAGATTGGCGAAAATTGTTGTTAAATAATATCATTACAGGGTATTTGAAAATAATCCTTAACAACTCAATTTGCATACAAATGAAGACAGAAAATCCAAGGCAAAAGATTAAATTAATGAGACAGCCCCCCTCCCCACAATGTGCATACATAAAGTACACACACTAAAATAAAGAGATAAATCACTGCTTCACTGCTAGAACTTGTCTGCCCCTGGAAATTCTAATATTTCAAAAGAAGACTCCATCTAAACAGTAGAGGTGGTATGTTTTAAGGCTAACAGGTACATCAGTGTTGGCAGAGACACAGGTTACTGAATAATTCTTCGAAATTTATGAGTCATAAGCTGAAACAAACCCTTTAGTGTCAAAGTAAAAGTATATATTTCTCAAAAACTTTACATTAAAATAAACTTTGACGAATCAAATATTTTCCAAAAAATATTATTGTGCAGAAATAAAAAAACCCTCTCAGGTCTTACAAGACTGGTCTGTGAGCTTCATGATAATCACCAATCTGTTTCAATTTCAGGTGACCACATATTATATCAAACATTGAGATTGAAAGATATATAAAAAGGGCAAGTGAAAAAATAAAAGACCTCTGAAGTTATTATTATTAGGGTAGTTTACTGATACTTTTATGCAAAGCATTTTGCATTAGGACCCATTTAAACAGC